CCAAAAAAACAAATTTAAAAAAAAAAAAAAAAAAAAAAAAAAAAAAGTGCATAGAGGATTTGCATCATAAATCACCATGGATTAGAACATCCCCACATAATTCAGTGATTACGTATTAATTGTCTCATCTAAAACTTTTAAGTATGAGAATGAAAAATATAGCCGTTATGAACCCCACACAAGATATATAAATTCAAAATTGGTGACTTGATATGATGGATAACGGTCGTATTAATAAACAGGGGCATAATTTAAATCCTGACTTCAACAACATTCATTTTTTGAAACCGTATTAAATCTCATCTAAAACTATTAGATATAATTTAAATCTTGTTTTCAACAACATAAAAGAGGTATTCGAGCACAAATAACTTTTTGAAAGAAAAAACAGAGTTTTAGAGAAAAATAAAACCCTGTCAAATCAGAATATTGAGCAGGATCATGCTACTCGTACACCGGGTTGTACCGACCCCCTAAAAATAGGGGTCCACGATTTTTTTATTCATCATGGGCCCACCCTTTTTGTGAGGGATGGTCAACTCCGGTGGACAAGTACCAAAATCCTATTGAGCAACATATATCAAATGATCTTCAAATACACATCCATATATTAAACAAATTAGCAAACCCTATCAAGGAACCCACACGAAGAAACGCATAAATATGTGTAAACAAAAAGAATTTCGTATCTAATTTATTACTATGGAGATAAGGGAAGAGGTGGCGGTTGACGAATCGAGAGGCTTCTGGTCCACCGTGGCCATCGTAGACGCCAACGTAGGTGGTGGACGGCGAGGCGAAGATCTGACTCTGGTCCTCCATGCTGGAATTGGCTTGTACAGCGGCGATCGAGAAGTCGCCGGAGGCGTGCGGCTTCAGGTCAATGTGCCACAGCAATTCATCACTGCTCCTCCTCCCCAGATACCTCTCCAATGGCCAATAACAGCACGATCGCAACATCCTCCTCTTTATCGAACAGTCTGAATTTTTTTTAGGGTTTGAATATCAGTCTTGCTTGACGAGAGGTTTATGGAGAGGAAGATAGAGTATGGTGGACTACCACGTACTCGCTGACACCTACGCGCTTTTGTTTCCTTAATTAAGACATTTTCTATATATTATTGTATTCAGAAGTGGGGTTTTACTTTTTCGCTGTCACGTTAAATATTTGGTTTAACAAATATGTGCTAAAAAGTCAAATAGAAATCAGATTTTTAATCCATTAAAGTGAATAAAATGAAAAGAATTCGTCCGAAGTGAATAAGTTAGGGTGTTTTGGAATGAAAGCATTGAATTTACATTTAAACAAAAAAAATGCAATTCTAACAATTAAATTGCTTAGCCCTGGTTGTTTCTCATTATTTGTCCATTAAAATAAAAAAATATAATTGTTATCCATCACATCAAGTCACGATATTTGATTTTCTATCTCTTGTGTGGGGCTCGTAATGACTATATTTTTCATTCTCATTTTTACATTAATGTGTACCAAACGGGACCTTAAACTTATTTGTATAAAAATTGTCAATTAAATGAATTTGATTAAATTAATTTTTAATTTAAAAAATGTTATACTTATTCATCTTTTATTGGTGAGTAGATAAGAGAAAATGAGATAGATGAAAGGTAAAAATACCTGAAAACTAAAAACCTAATTCTCTAGAGAGAAAATATGGTCATATGATTGGAAACATGTTTTCCATGAAAAATAATATCAATTAAACAGGACAAAAATATAAATTTGAATGGAAAAATGACATTTTTTATGAAAAATATTGACAATCAAAAGTACTCTTAATAGAAAAAATTCGTATGATCAATTCTAAAAATACTCATCGTGTAACTTGAAACTTTCACATTACAAATAGCTCATAGGATTGTTATAGATGGACAAAAGAAAGATACATCGAGGATTTTAACTCAAATGAAATTTCGACCATATATATTATCAAAAGGAACATATTTTGTAGAATTCTTAAGAAAATATTCGAATTCTAGCAAGGAAAAACTCAGACCGATGACGAAAGCCATTCAAACATCTAAAAGTTCGGGGCTTTAACCTCATCGGTAGTTACAACTACATCCCTACGACAATATGGACAGTCCCCGCACGTGCGCAGCCAGGGTTCCAAGCAGCAAAAATGAAACCTATGTCCACAAGGCAAGCATATCAGCTCATCTCCCATTGAAAAGCTCTCTAGGCAATTGCAACACTCCCTCAATGCCCTAGATATAGCCTGTTTGTCACCTTCATCTCTAGCACTGAATTTATTGAGCTGCAAACTGTTCAACGCCTCTTGAGTGAGTCCAGGAGGTCTTTTCTGCATCACGGAATCAGTGGAAGAGGGAAGTGCAGCCAGCCAATCCCCTGAAATATCAGTTTCCCAATCTCCACCATCAACTAGCCTAAAGTCACAACATCAATATGATAAACATCAGATGGCTAATGTTTATTAGGAGTACAAGTCTGCAACGATAGAAAAGTAAAAAATCAAGATTATAATTGAAAATACATTCTTTTCAGGGAGAAAGTTTGCAAAGGAGCTCAAATTATGCTTGTGTTTTACAAGATAGGTGCATGAGCAAGGTGGAAACTGAGAGAAGATCTTAGCACTCCAAATATCAGATTTACCAACAAAAAGTACAGGTAATAGTTTTCACAATCCATCATCAAATAATATTTTGCGATCAACTTGAAGCATCAAACTAACGAAGTCATTACAAGTACGCAAGGAAGGTATGAATCAAGGGATGGGAGTTGGGGGGTTTACATATAGTTAGTAGGCATCAAGACAGAATTTTTCAGTTTGGTAATTGAAAATTTCATTACAGACAGGGAAATATTTCGCAATATAAATAATTAAAGTTTTGGTTGGCAATAATTGTGCATTTGTCGGGGTGATGTTGGTACATTGGCACGCTCCAAGGTTACGAGAAGAGTAAATAGGAAGGAGAGAGGAGGATTTTAACTGGATATTGGTGTAGAGATGCTTAGAAGGCCCAAAATAATTAAGAGAGGGAAAAAAGGATGACAAAGAAAGAAGAATAATACAGGACAAAGTCTTGCTGCTTGCTGAACAGGGGGAGGAGAAAAAAGAAAAAACATGGGTCAGACACCAAAAGGCATAACCAACTAGCAACTGATTTTCATATTTTGAGATCAGTTTGGGTCAAATTTTTAGCAAGGTGAGTTCAGATCAGTGAAACCAGATAATGCGCATGGCTAGAAGAAAAGAGGGAGGAATGGTACAGTACAGCTTCATCATTGAGGAGACCAACCTGTTTCCAGACAGAGTGACACCTCTCAACCTTTGCAGAAGCCTTTCTCTTGCAAGTAGTACAGATCCAGGAAGCCGGCTGTTCCTACTAGTAACATTTCCAGGAGCAGAATGGTGGATCCCTCTATCAAACCAAATCGATTCACTTTCCTGAGCATGTAAAATCAGTTTATAAAATAATTAAAAAGCAGGCATATATGATTTGCACACATTCTTTTTTTCACCATTTGCAAGATAATCAAGAAAGTTACTGATCCCCAAAGTAAACTATACACTTGACGGAATACAGCACAGGATAATTATTAAAAAAAAATAGAAAAAGAAAGATGAAAACCAACAACAAAAGGCACATTATCTATCTTGAGTTTACCAGAATAGAAACTATCCAACCTTAACGGTGAATCAGCATCAATTGAATGACTACAACATGGAGAAGACATTCATCTACAGATAAAACATCCAGCTTCCTCATCAACTCGAGTCCATTAAACAAGAAGAAATGTAAAGCGTTCACTGGTAAACAAGTACAGTCTTCTTTGAGAGGGGTAAATTTCTTAACAGTTTCATGAGGACCATAATGAGTGAGATGATTGGAAAGGAAAAACAAGAATAGTTTTAGTTGGTACAAGAAGCAGGGGATAGATAAATAACATCAGAACTTTCTTTTTACAGGAATAAGGAAAGAAAATTACGCCATGTGATACTGAAAGTGAAAATGCGTTACCCACTATGATTGTCAAAAATACATTGAAAAACATGAATGAAATTCTACTCCTATGGAACAATGGACCATATACAAAATCCCTGCCAAATAGCATCACTAGACCATAACTTCTCAAAAATGGTGTTCGATCTTATGCCAGATGTTGTTAACAACCTATGATATTTAGTCCCTATCACTCATAAAGATAAAATGTTTTAAGTCATGACTAGAACTCAACAAAAAATAAAATGGGTCGGATACACATGAAGAATTGTAAGTATAAACGACATTGGCAAGAAATTTAAACTCTGAACCCACGATAACTATTTAAATTGTCAGCCCAAGGTAATCTGAACCTATTTAGTTAGGCCATTTTTTTAAACCTGCAAGTAAATAACTCAACACCCAACATACTAATTTGTGGTTGGACCTGGGTTAATCTAGGGTCCGGGATGCAATTGTAGCTTGTAATATTAAAGTCTCATTAAACTTTAAGGAAGACTCAATCCAGGATGCAATTTTTTTAACGAAAGCAGGCTTTATGGTAAAGCTCTAATAAGAATCAAGCCCTCCTAAATTGTGCAACTAAAAGCATTAGTTAATTACTTCTTACTGCATGAACACTCTGATAGGAAATGTATTTCAAACAATTTATGAGTCCTTTCAAGTATTCACTACGGCATATTTAGGTATCTGTCTCAAAGCAGCCTTCCTTCAAATTACATGCTGAAAGTCGAAACCTCTGTGGCCAAATAAAAATTCTTTTGGCAACTCATTCAAAGCCATCACCACAAAAGTACGGTATTACTAAAAAAAGCATTTGAAATTCAATCAATCATATCTTTTAATCACCAACTCCTCTCTACAGAGAATAAACTCGGTAGAAGGCAGATAATATATATTTTCAGTTTTGGTAACTCGACTCAATTAGGTCACCCATCTTCAATTCGCCAATCCACTGTCAAGAATGCTTAATGTATTCAATATCGCTAATTTACATTAAACTGGTCTTACTTGAGGTGGATGCGAAGGACGATTAGAAGGCGCGTGTCGAGACTGACGCGGAGGGCGTCGCAACGGATTGCACCCCTCATTATCCAGCCGATCGTGGCCGCCTGAATTGGGATGGTGGTGATTATTTGGGTGGCGGTGGTGGTGGCGATTGCTCCGACCAAGAGAGGTTGTGGAATCGAATTCCGGAACCAACTCTAAAGGGCTTGAACTCCGGCCAAAACGAGACCTCCTGTTGTAGAATAGCTCCGACGCGCTCGTCATACAAGTTCAGTAACTGAAAAAACAGACCTCCGATAGCCTTTATTTCTTAAGTATTCAAAGATTAAATGCTGTTTATTTATGTATGGCTTTTCAAAAATGTAAGAGTAGAATATAGGTTCGGGGAAATTGCCGATTTCGGAAAGTGGGGACGTTGCGATGTAGCTTCGCCGAAATGCATTAGGAGAAGCGGCGAGAAAAGCAGGGGAAAGCGCAGTGTGTATATATAGATGAAATTTCCCCGCAAAACCAAATGGCTAAAGCAGATTTTGTTAGTATTAGTCAATATTTTACAAGTACAAACATTGTCCTAAATTTAGGAGCGATGCAATAAAGATTTCGATAATAATAATAATAATAATTAATAAAATTTATGAATTTTAAAAATTTGATAATTTTTTTTTTCAAATAAGCACTTAATATATCGGGGTTTTTGGCGTATTGTGCCAAGTATCAAGATGAGATTCGTTTTCTGTATTTTTAGCCAAATTTTCAACTATGAATCGTGATGGCACCAAGGCTTGCCTCAAGTCAACTTTTCCAAATTTTTGTAGAGAAATCTTTAGATAGGTTTGTTCTGTAGAGAAATCTTTCAATAAAAACCCTAACTTCTAAGTAGATAACGAAATTAGAAAGTTTTCATGGATTATTAACTAATGTTGCAAATGTAAATTACAAGCCAGAGATAAACCTCAGCAAGTGATATTTCATTGAATACTCATAATTACTGTAAAAGAGGATATCAAAATTCTTAATCCCAGTACAAACATATTAAAACCAGTCGAAGAACAGAAAGGGTGCGACCTCAGTAAGATGAGTTGGGAGAATGGAAATTGGATTGCCTCTCATCAAATGTTAAAAGAAATAGACATGACATGTTCGTGATTGAAACTATAGCTTCTTTTTACCACCCCTTTATAGTTTTAGAAGGGCTGGGAGGTGTCGGGTCCAACTCTAGTACACGAAACATTAGCTGTTTCCCTCCCAACATGTAGACGAAGTAATTGCACACTAGAACATCATAAGATTAACGATTAATCAGAAATCGACAGATGGTAATGAATATTTTGTGAATTTGGACTAATTGTTGGCTTGAAACAGATGCCATTAAGCGAGCTCTTCTATCGAGTTCACTAAATAACTCTATTTGCTACAGAATTATAATGCTATGCAAGAAGAGCCAAAGCAACAGTTTCGCATTCCTCCTCTTAGTGTGCACAGAAGGGCAAAACTGTTTTTCTGGAGGCAAATTTTGGCAGAATATCTCATCTAAGCACAACTGAAGTAATCTACAATTCTTTTGCTTATTGTCATACATTTTGTTCGTTAAATGAATGTGCAAATATAGAAGTTTCTCTTTGACATGAATAAGATGATGAAAGAAACTTGTATGGAAACAAGGTAATGCTCATTTATTCATAAAATTCACAGGGATAATGTGTAGCTGGACAAATGTTGCTTCAATTTCATCCTGCCAATTCCACATATATCCATGCTGAAGTCCTTTCTCCACAGTTCAAATCTGGATTAAATTTGTTCATGTTGGAGAAAGCAAAACCACAAACTTAGATGGAGAATGGAGCAAAATTCAACAATTAACAGTGCTGAAAATATATATCTTTGAAGTGAAAAAGAATTCATGCTTGTTAGAGTTAGACCTCAATAAATGGTGATCCAAAGCAGTCCTGTTCTTTCAATAAACTGAAAGAATTAGCACCGGAGAATTGAATGAAATCGGCTTGTTTTCCTACTAGCTTTTCTATTTACACAATCAATATCATTATATTAGAAACTAAGTTAAGAGGATTAGCTCATTCATAAGGTGATCATTTTACAGTCTATAGACAAGACTGAATTGATGACATCACAAAAAATTCAAGAATCAACCAATTTTGACTCCATACCATGCTGTATCTCTCTTAACACATACTATAATCCCAAATAAATAAGCTAACACAAAAGCAACCGATATTAAAGTGGCAAAATGAGAAAAGAAGAATACAATTTGCACTTACTAGAAGAAATTGCGGGATTGTATAGACTATCATATTCTCTTTTCAACTGAACCCTCACTCTCCCTCTTTTGCATAAAATCCCTAGAATATGCCTTCTCACTCTAAAATATAAACAAGTCACACAAACCCATCAAAATTCAAACAGAAATACACAAAATATATACAAAAGTATATAACGAGATCATATAGACCCGTCAAAATTTATATAAATCCGCAAATCATAATTCATATACATAGATAAATTTAATGAATTTATTATCTACAAAAACTTGACAAACACATCAAAATTCATACTGTTTCGCGCGGGTTAGTCACTAACAATTAAAAAGGATCAGACGATTATGTAAGGGACAAACCTCTTGAGACAAAGTCCCAAAAAGGGGTGTTCTTTTATTGGCGATGACTTTACAATTGGAAATGAAAAATAAGGTGCCTCCAAGGGGCGCAAGCACACGAGTTACTGAAAGAAAAGTGTTTAAATCTAAAAACTAAGGAAATGAAAATTACACGTTCTCTGCTCGAGAGTTTTTGATTCGGTCCTTTGCTTCTATGTCCTTTCTCCCTTTTATACTTCATGGACGATCTCTTTGTGATCAACCGCTCTAAAAACTGCTTGATCGTCCTATAACTGCCTACTTTCTTCGTAATAGCCAACTTGTCATGAAAACTGCCTTTTTTAACTGCTGTCATTACTCTTCATCGTTCAACCGCTTTCGATTGAATTCCTTGAATCGTGGAACGTGATGGGGCTGCTTTGATAACTGCTTTGATAACTGCACCACAACGCTTTATGATTGTTAAAACCTTGGGCGACCTGAAGGCTTGAGCGAGAATAGGGTAACAGCTCTGGGCGATTGCATGGCACTCCATTCGCTCAGATTCTGGGCGACTTGCAAACTTGGGCGATGGCGTTACTACGTTTTTTGGCCTCCTTATTTGGGCTTTCATCTTGAATTGTCTGATTGGGCTTCGTTCTTTGGGCTATCTGATTTGGGGATTCTCCAATTGGGCTTCATTCCTTGGGCCATTCGATTTGGACTGAATTCTTATGTGTCAACAATTACCCCCCAATATGGCAGAATTAATAAATTATTAAATTTTGCCATATTCATTTTGTGTTTCCAGCAACTTTCGAGAGTCCCGAGAATCTCAATCATTATTTCCTTCCATAACTTTGAAAAGGTGCGTCGTTTTGCAAACCCTTATAACCCCCAAACACGCTATTTCACTGCACCATTAAATCACGCCTCAATTTTTCACGTCTCCTTCGCGATTTTACTGTTCATCTTTTACTTCCCTGTTACGTAACCCTGAAAAAAATTTCGTTCCATCTCCAATGGCTACTTCACAATCTCAAACTGGCGACTCCTTTAGTTTTGATGACTTTCAGAAACTTCTGAGTCGTCCATACATAACTCCGAGTTTTCTCGCGCCTGCCGATGTTGAACGCAATGAATTCTACTTAGGTCCCTTCTTCAACAATGCAGAGGCAGTTGAACAGGCGGCGGTGGGTCAGCTGTTTCCTTGTACTCAAGGCCCTCCTTTTCTAAACTCTCTGCCGCTGGGGCCACTTAGCGAAAGAGGTTTTCGCACTTAGCCTAAATCTGATGTAGCTTTCCGTAGGTGGCATGCTCGTCTTGTTGGTCATGGTCTCACTAAAGCACTTTTTGATAATGCTAGGATTTCTGATTTGCTAGAAATCTCCATTCACCCCTCTACTTTTGATTCTGCACTTTTTTCGATTGCTTTGAGCTTTTGGTCTTCCGAGTATAATACCTTTATTTTCCCTCTCGGCCCCATGTCTATTACTCTAAGGGATGTTGGGGCCCTAGTCAATCTACCACCTTTGGGCGATACCATTTTTCCTGGTATCTTGGTTTCTGGTGGCGCCCCAAAGTTTGGTAAAAACTACACCGATTCTTATTCAAGCTTGCAAACCCTTCACAAGCATTCGAGCGCTGAACCTTCCCATACTGAGCGAGTGGCCTTCCTTCTAGTTTGGCTTTGTAAATATGTTTTGTGCGTGCCAAGCATAAAGCCCTCCCTGAGTTATTTACCTATAGCACACGAATTGGCGCGTGGCAGGTCTTTGAATTTGTGCTCTTTGTTTTTGGCTGCTCTTTATAGAGGCATGGCTTCTCTTCAAGCTTAATTGAAGAATGGTGCATCTCCCACTGGCAGTGGACCTCTTTGGTTCACTCAACTGTGGTTGAGATCCTATTTTCCATTGCTTGGTGCTCCATCCATCTCTCGCTCCTATGCTAGCTGTTATGGGCTAGCCATGGAGCCCTTAGCTCCTGTAAATATGTCCAAAAGGGACATTTTTTCATTCTTTTATTCTTTGGATTCAATCCCTTCCTTTTTTCCTTTTCCTCCTTTTTTGACTCCAAACTATGTACATCCCCCTTCTACTATAGATAGCACGAGCACCTCCCTACTCATTTGGATCCAGTTTTTAACCAGGAGGGAACTATTTCATGATATTCTAACTGGGACCAATGCCAAAGCGAGGGTAGAGATTTATGCTCCCCAATTTTTTGCACGTCAGCTTGGTATTGGCCAAACTTGGCCTGTTCCTCCTTGCTATTCAAGGAATTTAGTTGACCGTTTTTATACCATTACTAAGGCGGAGGCAGAGGCTATAGATGCTCGTAATCTTCTTTTAACCAGCCATTTTTCATTAGCCCCTTTCAATTCTAGCCACGCCATTCACCCTCTTTTTGAACAGCTCTGGCCGTTAGTGAAGCGCAGATTATTTGCGACTGACGCCAATCATGCCTTTCATTCATTAGACCGACCGAGCATTTCTTCCCCTCCTCCTATTTTAGTCACTCCCTTGTCCATTCGGAGTCCTTCTCCTTCTCGTCGCACTAAATAGTCTGCTCGTCCATCTTCTTCTCTCCCTGCCAAGCCTACTACGGCCAAGAGTGCCCCAAGCCGCAAATGGCCAGTCTTAGCATCTCCCATTCTGGAGGATGATGTTGATGTTGATGATGATGACGATGCTCCTCTTATCGTCAGGAGGAAGATAATTAAATTGGTTTACTTACAAGTATACTTTTCTACATTTGAAACTTTTCTGTGTGCTGATGATGTTTTGGACTTCTCAGAAAAGCTTAGCCTCTCCTTCAAAGGTTTTGGCATCGACAGCTCCTGTTCCATCATCCTCTACTGAGGCTACTTCATCCAAACTGGTTGATGAAGGGGCTACGCTTA